GGCGCCCCCCATTCGCTGAGCTCTACCAGAGGTTTTTGCCAACGGAAGCTCAGTCGTGAAGCAAATTGTGAAGCCATGCTGGTCGTCCTCCTCTTCTTCCGCCCCCTCCTCCTCCTCCTCTTCCTCTTCCTATCTGGCCCGACGGGCACGCAGAGTGGCTAGGTAAGGAGATCAGACATTCTTGAGGACGCTCCGCCTCCTCTTCCTCTTCCTCTCTCTATTCTTCGTCGTCGTCGTCGTCCCGTCCGTCTCCTCGGTCCTCCGCATCATCTCTCCTTCTCTCTGCTGTCCTCTCCCCTCCTCTTCTCCTCCTCTTCTCCTCCTGCTCCTCTTCCTCCTTCTCCTCTCTCACCTCTCTTCCCTCACTTTCCCTTTTCTCTTTGCAGGCAACTTCTCCCCGTCGCGCCCCGGGGCGTGTCGGTGGGGCGGGCCCTGCGTTCCGACTCGGACTTCTTCGCCATGTATGCGATTCTCCCGCTTTCGGTTCGCACCAGTTCCACGGATGGATGGCGGGCTGTTGTGAGAAAACGTGGTTCTCGCCCGGGCGCCGCGCACGTTCGTCTTTAATGTTTGCAACAGTCGGAGGAGCGTAAGACCCGGGTTTGCCAGGACTCGGGTTCGCCATCGTTTTTTGACGACCGCGACTCGGATTTTGACGAGTAGGAGTTTCGTGGGATGTTTGCAGCGGGAGGCCTCGTCAAAACGCAGGCTGGGCCTCCTCATTTTTTTGACGACCTCGTCGGGGATTTCCGAGTCCCCTGTACCCGTGTCTTACGCCCCCCTGAAACAGTTTCACGGATGGAGGGCGGGCCGTTTTTAAAAGGTGGCTTTCGCCTTAGCGCCGCGCACATTCGGTTTCGAACATGCGCAGCACGTTCAAGAGCGGATGACGGTTCTTTTCAATCCGTGGTTCTCGCCTTAGCGCCGCGCAAATTCGTTTTAAAAGCTTGCATCAGTTTCACGGATGGAGGGCTGTCCTCAGCGCCGCGCACATTCGTTTCAAAAGCCTGCAACAGTTTCAAGGATGGAGGGCTGTTCCTTGACAAAATGTGTCTCTCGCCTTAGCGCCGGGCGCATTCGTCTTAGAAGTTTGCAGTAGTTTCAAGGGTTCGTGCAGTCGAAGTCCCAGGGATGGTTGTTCTGGCGCAGGAAAGTCTGGACGCAGCGGTAACTGTGTGTCGAGGTGTTGAAATCCCAGGAATGGTGGTCTGGCACGATTTAGGATCGTCCGGACGTAACGGTTACGTGGATCCGCGCCGTTGAAATCCCAGGAACGGTGCTTTGTCACCGATAGGGATTCTCAGGCAGTTGTCTTCTACTGGGCCACTTCCCGGTATGAAAATGAATACTTTTAGGGGCCTGTGAAGAGGAAACTTAGACTGAGGGTTTATTGCAGCATCGTTTGTTGCGTCCTGGGTTTACACTGGTCTCCTCCTCCTCCTCCTCCTCCTCCTTCTCATCCTTCTTTCTCCTCCTGGAAGGGACCCGCGACCCGTCGCTGCAGGGGACGTGGGGCTCTTCGAGCTCGGCGCGGGGCTCGGAAGGTCCTGTGACCTGCAGATCCCGAACACTACTGGGGGATGCGGATGAGGAGGAGGAGGAGGGAGTGAGGGATGGCGCTGGCTGGCCGCAGCCTGGCAGCCGGGATACTCGTGCGCAATGTCGCTCGCAAGGGAGGGATGGACGGTGACGGTCACGATAACGACGACGACGATGACGATGCCGATGATGATGACGACGATAATGATGATTACGATGACGTCGATCACAATGACGATGACGATGATGATGATACTGATAATGATCAATTTGCTGTTGATGCTGATGATGCTGATGATGATGACGACGACGATGGTGACGATGACGATGGCAAGGATAATGATGATGCTGATGGCGATGACAATGCTGATGATGATGATTATGACAATGATGACGACAACAATGATGCTAATGATGATTATTGTGTTGATGATGGCGATGCTGATGATGATGCTGATGATAATGACGACAATGGTGATGACGATAATGGTGATTATGTTGTTGTCGATGACGATGTTGTGAATGACGATGCTGATGATGATGATGATGATGATGATGATGATGATGAGGATGATGAGGCTGACTGATGATGATGCAATTTATATGACTATGGCGATGACGACGATGACGACGATGATGATTATGACGATGCTGATGGTGGTGATGATGATGACGATGTGGATGATGACGATGATGATGCTGCTGCTGATTAGGATGAATGATATGATAATGATGATGCCGATGATGATGACGATGATGATGATGGCGATAATGCTGATGCAGATTGTGATGATGGTGCTGATTGTGATGATGATTATGATCATAATGTGATGCATGATGATGTTGATGGTGATGCTGTTGCTGCTGATGATGCTGATGATGATATTGATGCGACAGGGGTGACGATGATGGTGATGAGGTTGACGATGCTGCTGCTGATGATGACGAGGATGATGATGAT